AGCCCTGCTGGAGTCCCCCAGTCCCAGCAGAGAGGCGGGGGGAGGGGAAGGCAGCCACTGAGAGCAGGCAGCATGAGCAGCCTGGTTCCTGCTGGCTCCTGTGGAAGTGATGCGCAGTTTACTGCACAAAATATCACATGATGGGCTACTAGTTATAAATAAAAAAAAGCAAGATAGTGATAAACCTGTACAGGTATTTGTGGTGGATACAGTAACATGACGGATATACTGGATGTATTTAGGTACATGATAATTTAGTCTCAAGTTGTATTCATTTTTTAAAGGATAAAAATTAGTCCAACTCCATGTACCTGAGTTTAAAATTTAAATTACTTCTCACATGTGAAGTTCTTAGTGAGTAAATAATTTATTTCCAAATTAAAAAAAAAAAACATTATTGATCTGAGTGTTAGTTAATTCCTATGGTATTCTTGCAGCCCAACAAAATGTTAACATGGAAACCAACTTTGAACATGAAGAATCTTATGAAAGAAATTTTCAGAACCCTAGGTCTCTATGGAAACAGTTAAAACAGGGAAAATAAATGTCATGCTCGCTTGCCTTTTATTTTCTGCTTCATTGAAAAATGGCTTATTTGAAATAAACAATATTTTAAAAATGTGATATGCTTTTAATCTCTGAATGAAATTAATATTATCTCTCTAAAGAGTAGTTGTATATTAGTTAACTTAGCTTATTTTCCTCTTTTTTTATTTTTTATATTGACTGCATTACTGGAACTTAAAATTATATATAACAAACTTAGGCTATATGATGCAGCCTATGCTCTTAGGCTATAAGTCTGCACAGCATGTTGCAGTATAAAATTCACACTTGACTCCCAATGTGAGTGTATTCGGGGGTACCTTCTTATAGCTACTCTAGGGTATGCAGAAGACAAACTCATTTTTTGCCTATACAAACTGATGTCCTAGTGTAGGGGTGTCGAACTCAATCAGAGAAGGGGCCAACATCTAAAATCCAGCCTAAATCGCGGGCCGAATGGTTTACTGAACAGTCATAAACTGTCATTGTGATGGAAACACAGCGGAGTGCAGTGATGACAGCGCGGTGCAGGCCACATTGCAAGGCCTGGCGGGACGGATTTGGCTCGCGGGCCTTGTGTTTGACACATGTGTCCTAGTGGGTGCTAAATCTCAATCTTCTATACTAATAATAGAGGAATATGCAAATTGTTCAGGACACCATCATTATAACGACTGAACAGCAGGCTTGTGGGGTGACCAGGCCAGCTGTTCTGGTCAGGGGTTAGAGGGACAACCAAACGACTAAATAGCAGGCTGTATGAGGCAATGAGGCCTGCAGTGGGGGACAGTTGGAGATGACCAGGCCAGTGGGGTGGGTGGCAGTTAGGAATGATCAGTCCAGTGGTGGAGCGGGGCAGTAAGAAGTAATCAGGCTGGCAGGGAGTGCTGTTAGGGGTTGACCAGGCTGGTGGTGGTGGTGGTGGGGACAGTTGGGGGCGACCAGGCCAGGAGGCAGAGGCGGTTAGGGGTGATCAGACTTTCAGGGGGTGCAGTTAGAGGCGATCAAACAGGCAGGCAGGTGAGCAGTTAGGAGCCAGTAGTCCCGGATTGTGAGATGGATGTCTGACTGCCAGGCCTAAACCAGCAGTTCGACATCCCCCGAGGGGTCCCAGATTGGAGAAGATGCAGGCTGGGTTGAGGGGTCTCCCACCCATGCATGAATTCCATACACTGGGCCACTGGTTTTATTATAAATATCTGGGCACCGCAGGCAAAATGTCTCTTTTGGCTTGAGTTATTTTCATGCCTTCTATCTGCAAATGAGATAGTATAAACAGCAAGTTTCTGCATTCCATCAATCAGTCCCGGTTTCTGGAATGATTTGGATGGACATGTAGCCTGAGACAGAAATAAGGCTTCATTTTGTTAAGTTATTGAGCTTTTGGGGGTTCTTGTATTACTATAGAATATCTTAGGCTCTCCAAAGAGTTGTGACTTTTCTTAACCATGTTAGCATTGAAACATAACTATTGTAATTAACTTCCACAGTTATGCTGGCTCTTAAAAGTTAAATTAATATCAAGCTTGGGTGAAGCAGTTAGGAAAGGTCCCAATCCATTCATTTAAATAAAAGAGCGAAGCAAATAGTAAAGGATGAGGAGTCTCCTGAGATTTCTCAATTGGCTGACTATGTCCTATTTCTACTTGTTCTTAGAAACTGAGATGCTCATATCCGAAGGAACTCACAAAACATCTGAAGTCTTGGACATAGGCTAGTGGAGTGGTCTTCTTTTCTTCCACTTGAAGAATGTAGAAGGGGAAGGGAAAACAAAAGGCTCTGGAAGGATAACAAATGTAACGAATAACCTGGTTTGATATATACCCTTAGAGTTAAATGTTTTATTGGTGCGATTTAGCTGAGGGTTGTATTGCATCTCTCAAGAATGGGGGAAAAATAGGTTTTTATAGTAGCTGAACTTACTACAATTTAAAATTATCATTCTGGAGATGACATTTTCAAGAGAAAACTTGAAAATAAATGACAAATTTTAGAACCAATATTATTTGAATACCTACTATTTGCTAACTAGATAGGATTTTATATAATTAATTTTACAACCTCATCAACATTTTGAGCTGATTCTTATTATTCTTATCATTATTCTTATTTATATATGTAAGGAAGTAATTTAAGTTTGGGGTTCTAATTCATTTTCAAGTTAATTTAGGGTTCTAATTTATTTCCTAAGTTAATATATTATGTAACTGGGATTCACTTAACACATTTATTGTGCCCTTGTGAATTATATTTGAAGTCTGAGAGAAAGATCAGAATCAAGTATGATTCCAACATTTTCTGGACTTGACCAATTGAAAGAATGGAGTCACCATTAATAATCTGGAACTTACTAGAAATCATTGTGTCCCATACATATTGCAAACTTCAAAAATCATCAGTCCTACAATTCTCAATACCAATTAGAGTAGCTACCTAATTCTCTACTTTTCCCATACATGCCCTCCACTAGTTACACCAAGCTCTGAAGATATATATATATATATATATATATATATATATATATATATATATAGTCAGTTGTTAAACAGATGTATAATTATTTGAACCACCCAGATTTGATGATCACTTTAACAATGAATGGAGGAAGGGGTGCAATTTTTTAAAAGTTTACCTGTGCTTCTTTCACTACTACTGCTATTTTAGAATTATACCTTATATCTTGAATAGTATTATAACCTAACCTCTATGACATTTTTTTAATTGATTATGGTCTCACATAATTGTCCTTATTCCCCCATTCCCATCCCAAACCCTTCCCTAGATATGCCCCTCCTCCCCCAACCCCCGTTGTCCATGGCCACTGGCTAGGCCCATATGTATGCACACAAGTCCTTTGGTTGATCTCTTCCCCTTACCCCCATCCTCCCTTACTTTCCCTCTGAGGTTTGAGAGTCTGATCGCTGATTCTCTTTTTCTGGGTCTATTTATGTTGTTCATTATTTCCTCTAGATATGTGAGATCATGTGATCCAAGAAATACCCTTGTAAGAACCTAAACTGCATCAAGCCATAATGGTTATGCTAAGAGGCAAATGAATCAGTCCGTAGTGAGTTCCTTTCTGGGCCAACAGTTCTTTTGAGTCCCAATTTCAATGCCATTTTGAGTTCTTCAAAGATCATTGGATTCCCTCACAGTAAGCTCACATCTGTCTGTCTGTGATGATGCCAAAGGTACTCATTTTTCATTGAAGGAAGAGCTAAAGTTTATTTTATACTCAGGTTTTATTATTCTTTGATCCATTACATTTAAAAATAATATTCTGGACAAATGCATTCAATATTTGAATGTCTTTGAAGGATATGGAAGGCTTTCTGATAGCCTGGGTATAAGTATGTCTTAAGTGTTTACATATGGGTAAATGATTAAAAAAAACACACACACATATTGATAGTAAGTTCAAGCTATTTTTTTTTTTTTTTTAGAAGTAACAGAAAAAGCAATTGTCAAAATGTCATACAGGTTAAAAAAGAAAGAAAATGCAATCAACTTCTCCGTGGGATCAAATTCCCTTCTGCTCTTATATCCTTAGGCATGTCACAGAGCAGATCTAATTCCTTTGTTTTTCATTTCAACATGAAACCTGAAACTAAAATAAAGCCAGGTCATTTGTGCCTGGGTTGAAAAAGGGCTCAAAATTAGCCTCCCAGGAGCAATAATAAAAGATCTTATTATTTGCTGCTGGTTGTATGATAGTCACCATATACTATTGGTTCAGGGACAAGAGAGAGGACCCATTGGCATTTGGTCAGCCATTCTCTATACTGGTAGCAGCAGAGGTAAAGATCACCATTGAGCTCTGCCAGCTCTTTTAGTTCATTGTGCAGAGCATAGATGTTCTCTCTGACTTTATTTTGCTCCTGTCACCTCAAGCTTGAGAACAAACTTTAAGCGCTATCATTTTGCTTATTGAGTCACACACATGTGCTTTAATACAGAAGTTCTCCCTTGTATTCAGGTGCACAACTAGACTATGTTTCCAACCCTTTCATAATCAGGAGGGGCTACATGCCTTCGTTTTGACTGATAGGACTGAGTGGGTATGGTAAGGCTCTGAATTTTCATTAGGTCATACATCCCTAAATAGCCACATGAAAAACGACCTTGCTCATTTGATTCACACCTATTAGAACTATTTATGAGTGAAAGATTTTGGTTGTACTGAAATATTATATATCAGATCTACACTTTTAGCAACTGCGCTATAAACAAGTTCACATGACTTCTAAGACCTTTTACACCTTGTCAGATGAGTTTTCTTTCTCATGGCATTTTGTTTGGCAGCATATTTTCTAGCCATAATAGTATGATATTTATTCTAAATTCTCCAAAGTCACTTAATACTTCTCTTATCATATTGCTACCTTTTGTCAAGGATACCTTTTCTTGGCTCTGCTTAAGTGTCTGGAAAACTGTACACAGCCATTTTTAGAAACATTGCCAATTCTAGTAGTGAAAGTAATTTCTCATGAATAACCCCATAGTACCTTTTTAAATTAAAAGAAAATAATTATTCTTTACTTTTGAAAATATTACATATTTTCCTTCCCCACTCCCTGACCCCCGCCATTAACCTCTCTAGCCTGCCCCTGCCCCAGGTCTTCAGCACCCTATTGTCTATGTCTACACCATGGTACCTTTTGTCAACTGATACAGGTCTTATATCTATCTCACCAATATTCACCATGCGAAGACCTAGCAGTTAATACATGTCAATTAAAACCTGAGAAATGGGAAATACATTAAAGAATATACAGGAATCTCATTTTCATGTTTTAATAAGAAGCCTATCTACCAATTTTCTGTTTGTTGAAATCTCATCTTCTGAGATTCTGATACTGTGCTCTTCCCCCATGTCTGGAAAACCCAGGCTGATAGAAAGTATGTTATTACCTAGGGGCGGCGGGGGTGAGGGGGAGAGAATGAATATGAATATAAGAACTTCTAAGAGATATTTGTACACTCATCATTGTAGTGTTATTCACAATAGCTAAGAGATGGGAGTTGCTAAATTGCCCATCAATGGATGGATGGATTTATTTTTTAAAGTGGCATATACATATAATGGAAGATTATTTAATCTTAATTAAAAAGGAAATTCTGACACAAACTACAATATGGACGAACCTTGAGGACATTATGATAAGTGAAGTAAGCCAATCAGAAGAGGACAAGTACTATGTGATCCTACTTATATGAATTAGCCAGAGTATTCAATTCATAGAGATAGAAAGTAAAATAGTGATTATCAGAGGCCTGATGAGAGGGGGGAAATTGGGAATTTTTTTTATAACAGGTATGAAGTTTCAGTTGAGGAAGATAAAAAGAGTGGTGGTGATGGTTGCACAACAATGTGAACGTATTGAATGTCAATGAACTGAAAACTTAAAAATGATTAACATGGTAAATTTAATTTTGTTATGTATATTTTACCACATTAAAAAAAACACCAAGATTATGCAAAGTTAAATGGCACATCTTTTTTTTGGCACATTTTATTAGATTTAAAGAACAAAGACTAACTTAAAAGGTGGTCAAGTGCCACTAATTACCAACATTAACATGGCTAAATTTAGGTGGCATCCATGGAAGACAGAATCTTTAGAGCATGCATCTTGAAATTCTGAGGTGGTAAACCTGGAAAATGTGAGAACAAAAGGACAGATTATTTTATTTCATATTTCCTTTTTCACTCCCCAAATTTATCACTGCTACATTATTGTGCAAAGTATTTCTTGGTTATCACATGTAAATATTTCTCATCTTAAGATTTCATAGATTTGACTCTTGGAGTTTCAGGAAAACTAACCATTCAGTCTTTTTGAGATAATTTGGTAGTTTTTAAGTGGCTGAACTTTGGTGAGGTAGGAAGTACTTGTTTCAAGCTCATTATTCGTGCACTGCGGAAGCAAAGTGGAAGCATTAAGTGCTGAGAAGGTTTGGAAACTGTGCTGGGTTGTTGATTTTTAATTAAGAATAAAATACAATGGAGTAGGTGTCCTTCGGACAAGACAATAGAACTGGACATCAGAAAACAATGGCATAGCTTACCTCTGAATACTTGTAATTATCTGGGAATTGTTGCAGAGAGTCTATAAATTAAAGAATTCTGCAGTGCATTTTCTGAGTCACCTTGGAATCCCCTGCAGCTGCAAAGCTCACACACTTTAAAATTTGCCTTTCTCAAGGAGTTAGTTTTCAAATAATTTTTTGTCTATATTTTGCCCTGTTTTCTTTCTCCTTGACCTTTCTAATTCCACTGATTTTTTAAAATAGATCACTGTGTTTGAAAATAATGCATTTTAGGTGAAGTTTATCTAACTGAGTAAGAAATACAGTAAACCAAATCATTGCTGCAAAGTTTTCTTATACAAGAAATAATGTTTAATTTTTCATTTCTTTAATTTGCTGTTTCTGCTGCTGCTTTTTCTAACTCAGTTACCATTCTGTTTCCTATGGATTCTCTTTAGTTTCTCTTTCCTTTGTCATAATGTCTCATTCTCTGTCCTCTTATCCTGTTTCTTTTAAAGCATGCATCCCAATCATTTGGAAATTTCTCTATAATCTTTATTCTAATTTATTTTCATCCTCTTTGTAACTTTCAGTTCCATTTGAATTACCACACAAAAAGAGAAAATAATAATTTATGTGCTTAGAACCTTTTATTTATTTATTTTTGAGTAAAATCTTTTTTTAAATAAATCTTTATTGTTCAGATTATTACAGTTGTTCCTCTTCCCCACCCCACACCCCATAGCTCCCTTCCAACTGGTTCCCACCTCACCCTCTCCCCTTACCAACTCCCACACTGTCCTCATCTATAGGTGTCCTCATATCTCTGCCTTCCACAGCTCCTGTACAATTTTTTCCAGTCTCTTCCTGCAGCTCTCATACCCTTTTCCCCCTGAGAATTGTCAGTCCACTCCCTTTCCATGCCCCTAATTCTATTATATTCACCAGTTTATTCTGTTCATCAGATTTTTTATTCAATTGATTTTTAGATTCATTTGTTGATAGATATGTATTTGCTGTTCATAATTTTCAACTTTTTTTTCTTCTTCCTCTTCTTAAAAAATACCTTTCAGCATTTCATATAATACTGGTTTGGTGGTGATGAACTCCTTTACCTTTTTCTTATTTGTGAAGCTCTTTATCTGACATGCAATTCTGAATGGTAGCTTTGCTAGGTAGAGTAATTTTGGTGGTAGGTTCCTGCTATTCATCACTTTGAATATTTCTTGCCACTCCCTTCTGGCCTGCATAGTTTCTGTTGAGAAATCAGCTGACAGTGGTATGGGTGCTCCCTTGTAGGTAACTAACTGTTTTCCTCTTGCTGCTTTTAATCGTCTCTCTTTTTCTTTTGCTCTTGACATTTTAATTATGATGTGTTTTGGTGTGGCCCTCTTTGGATTTCTTTTGTTTGGGGTTATCTGCACACCCTGGACTTGTAATTTTATTTCTTTCACCAGGCATGGGAAGTTTTCTGTCATTATTTTTTTAAATAGATTTTTAATATCTTGCTCTCTCTCTTCTTTTGGAACCCCCATAATTTGGATATTGCTACACTTGAAATTGTCTCAGAGTCTCCTTACACTATCTTTATATTTTTGGATTCTTTTTTCTTTTCCGGTTGAGTGTTTTTTACTTCTTTGTATTTCAAGTCTTTGACTTGATTCTTGCAATCCTCTAGTCTGCTGTTAGATCTCTGTATATTATTTTTTTTATTTCCGTCAGTGTATGCTTAATTTCTAGTTGGTCCTTTTTCATATTCTTGAGGGTCTCACTAAATTTATTGGCCTTTTCTAGAAAATTCTTGAAAAACTTATAACTGGTGAGTTTGAACTCTATATCCAGTTATTTGCTTTCCTCCATTTCTTTCATTTGTGACCTGTTTATCTCCCATATAGGCCCCAGTGGCTCAGCATTCCAATTACCTAAGGTGGACACTCTTGGTGCACCCCTTTATGGGCTATGTGCACAGTTTTGTTGTAGTTAAGCTTTGATTGTTGTTGGTATCACTGGGAGGAATTGACCTCCAGGCCAGTTGGCTGTGAGTATCATCTGTATCTATGCTAGGAGAACTTTGTGCTGGAGACATCCTTATGAAATAAGACTTGCTTCAGTGGGGCTTTGGTTCTCACTGAGTCTGCCCCCTGAATGTGTCCCTTATGGTTCTGGTGAGTTGTAATCTGGGTGGTACCACTCTGATCCCACTGGCTCTTGGATCTCAAAGGAGGTGCTAATTTAGCCTCTTTCTGAGGCCACCCAGCAGGAGCTATGGAGAGATCTGCAGATTCCTCTTCTTTGTTTGGATTTTGAAGGTGCCCAGATAAGGCTCCACTGTGAAGCAATGCAAGCTGCTGCAGGGCCTTGGGCCTTTTGGATGTTCTGGGTCTCACTGATTTAGCTGCAGTTTGTTAGGTAAGTTTAGAATTCAGAGGAACGGGCCATTCATATGCAAAAATCAGATTGGTTGGGGTGGAGTCTCAGGGCATAGCAAACTGCAATGGCTTCCAGTCAACCCTTACCTAAGAAGCCCTTGGGTCTCAGTGTCCCAAGGCAATCACTGCAAGCACCTCTGAGAAAAAGCTGCCCTTGAGTTTCATCCACTGTCTGACAGTCCAGTTTCTCCCGAATGAGTCTGGGTCCCCAGAGTCTTGCCCAGAATTGGAGTTTAGAGCAATCAAGAGCTTTGTCTCCCTCCTGATTGAGAAAGCCAGCTACATACTCAGTTGCCAGCCCTCTTTGCATGTGTGCCTCCATATCTCTGCCTTCCACAGCTCCTGTGATTCTCAGTGTGCTTTTCTCCTTCCTTCTAGTTGTAGAATTTCCACTCAGCCAACCTTCTTGTGGTTCTGGATGATGTCCATTTGTCTTTTAGTTGTAGTTTTGAAATTCTTGTGCGAGGCAGCAGTTTAGGTATTTAGATGTGCCACCATCTTGGTTTCTTTCTCCTGGAACCTTTTATATACCAGTCCCAATGCTTAGCATTTTTCTTTATAGTAGATAGTGTCATTTTTATTTTTAAATCAGGAGACTTAAGAGAGTTTATGGAGTGTATCCTATAGTTAGATAATAATGTAAGAGTTTCACCTGCATAATGGACTTCCTGGAAATAGTGAGCGGTAGCAATAGTAGGACAGTCTCCTAATATGATATTATTCTTTTTTCATTTTTAGGGAGCATTTCTAGTGTCATCAGTTTTATATGCAATGACTGTGACATTTGGCAGCAGCTAGGAGAGCAGACACTCAGAAAGACTGGGCTGGAGACACCACGCACCTATCCATGGGAGGAGTCCTTGGGCTCTTTAGTGATGGTGAGTCATCATCTGCCTTGTTCCTGAATTCTTCAGGCAGGTAGACTCACCATAGGACAAAACCATGTATACATGACATTCACCTTTATGCTATGATCCAACATCTTGAATACCCCAATCAGTTCTTCAGCTTCTTGGCTTTTCTTACCATTTATTGTGTTATTCATCCTTCTGGCTTCATACTCAGACCCTTTCCTCTATCTTAGACGTTTCACCTCTTCAATCATAATGATGTTCCCCCTAAGCCTATAGTAGTTTAGCCTCTCATGGTAAATATTTCATTTATTTCAGTCTGGGCTCATAAACCTTGCATCTTGGTGCAAGTCCTTGTGAGCAGTTTCCCTAGATGTGTTGGCTCTGCATTTCTCAGACACAGGGAAGAAATCTAATTGCTATGGCACTTTTTCAGCCATTGTAAATGAGCAGCAGAACTAACAGTTGTTGCTGCTCTCGCCTGTTGATTAAACCAGTTTCTATAACTTTGCATTAATAGTTCATGGGGGAAAAGGGGAAATAATAAAAACTTCAAGAAGGAGAATTTTTCTTACCTTCCTTGGATGGGGGGCATTAAACCCTTGTATATGTGTATCTCTCAGGAGTACCACTAATTCAGGGATTACTTAGCAATTAGATAATGGTGAAAACTGTAATTCGAGGTCTTTTCAGCATGGCTGCGTTACTACACATTTTATTAAAAAGTAAGATTTATAAATGATCCAATATAAGGTGTTCTGTGTCTTTGGGATCCCAAATTATAATCTTGACAAGTGATTTTGCCCAAGTGAGGTTGATTACAAAGGCATGAGGTGAGGGCATTATCCACTAGATCACATGTGTCAAACACAAGGCCCGCGGGCCAAATCCGTCCCGCCAGGCCTTGCAATGTGGCCCTCACCGCGCTGTCATCACTGCACTCCGCTGCGTTTCCATCACAATGACAGTTTATGACTGTTCAGTAAACCATTCGGCCCGCAATTTAGGCTGGATTTTAGATTTTGGCCCCTTCTCTGATTGAGTTCGACACCCCTACACTAGATCCACTGTTGGTTGTTGTGATGGGGTGTGCATAAGTCTTAGCTGAAAGATGCTTGTAAGACAATTTCATAACGCATTAGACAAAATTGGCATCTATAATTTATCAGAACAGCCACTTGAAAAGTGAATAAAACAGCCACACCATTTTTTAATCATAGATCTCAGACTTTCTTGTTAAAATAAATGTTACTCATTTTGAAAAGATATGACTTACAGTTCTAGTATGTAATTTTATAGTTTTTACGATTATGTTTCTACTTTAAAATTGTAATTTATTCTTTTATTGAGACATGTAATTATAACTATATTAAAAGGAAAACTATTTTTCCCAGTATCTCCAACTATCCCTCCAAAAAAAAACCTAAACACAGCAGTTTAAATATGCATACCTATATTAAAGAGCATCTCTACTGGAGAAATAGACATATGCACTACTGTATTAATGCAGTATATGTTGCATATTATATTCAATAAAGAAAACATTGAAAAAATTACAAAACGGATTATTACAAAGTCAAAGAGATTAGCGAGGATAAAAGAAAAAATAACACAAAGGAAAGAAGCAAACCCAAACAGCAGAGATGTAACAATAAGATACAATGGAAACTTAAGTTAAAGAATGATAATGACCCACTAGCCAAACTCACAACAACATCAATTTATTTTTTCTAATTACATTTAATTACAAGTTATGCCGAAACCAGTTTGGCTCAGTGGTAGAGCATCAGTCTGCGGACTGAAAGGTCCCAGGTTCGATTCTGGTCAGAGGCATGTACATTGGTTGTGGGCACATCCCCGGTAGGGGGTGTGCAAGAGGCAGCTGGTTGATGATTCTCTCTCACCGACATTTCTAGCTCTCTCTCTCTCTCCCTTCCTCTCTGTAAAAATCAATAAAAATATATTTAAAAAAATTAATAATATATATTAAAAGAAGAAGAAGAAGAAGTTATTTGACCAGGCTACTTCAAGTGGGATTGTGCCATCTTTGAAAGAACACATGAGTAGATGCTGGGAAGCATATTCCTAAATAGCCAGTTACTGTGTGTACAACTGTACAACTAAATTTCACTACTGCTAACCCATTTTTCATTTCCATAATGAGGGAGCTGGTCCTTCCAGATCAGTGGCTCCCTTGCACTTCAGTAACTTCTGTACATGTGAAATCTGTGACGTTAGAGCTCCAGTCAAGTAACAGAAGTAGCAACTAAAGAAAGAAAAGGAGGCATGGAGTCAGTGAGATGCTGCACTGTGAAACTAGCATTTTCCCTGTTCAGGGACACCCTCCCACCACCACTTCCCCCAGGTAGCTCAAATAAAAGAATAGTCCTATATACTCTGTCACAGCAGATTTTTTCTAGGGAAGAAAAAGAGATTTTGACTAATAGCCCAATTCTGTCCAATTTCACTGAAATTCATCATTACTCCTTGCAAGTTGATAGTTACTCAAAGCCTTTAGAATTTCTGTGGACTTAGCAGGTTTTTGAAACCTGTATTAATTCGATGTCTTATAGATAAGCTCTGGTTTCCAGATCCATTCAGCGCTTAGACAAAGATCCCTTGTTGTCAGAATGCTGAGTAAGTAATCTTTCTTTAAAAATCCCTTAACCATACATTTAATTTCAGAGAATTGATACAATCCATCTCCAAATATTCTTATAGAAGATATTTGCAACCTTGAGTTGGGAAAAGGGACAAGCAGAATATAAAACCTGAAAAGGTCAGTTGTGAAACACATTTCATGAACAGACTTGCTGTGAAAAGAAGATATGGGTGTTTTTCTTGTTCTTTAAGCAGGTCACCACCTTGGTTTGTAGAGTGTGCTCCATCATGCATAGCTAAACTTCATTTCAGTTACACAGTTTACATTCATAAGGATATGATATTATAGCCTGGGATAAGTCTATCAAGTATATAATGAAAGTCATTGTTCGTATTATTATGGAAACTCCAAGTTAGAGAGAGTGTTCAGATTTGATAGAGCCCCTTCCTATTGCTTACCTATCATCACAGGACGGGGTGGATGGGATTATTTCTGTGGAATCAGTTCCAATTCCAGCTCTGTCACTTGCTAGCTGGCAACTTGGGCATATCACTTAGTAGTTTTTTTAATTTATAGTTTTTCATGTTAAAAGTGTTAAAATAATATAAAATTCACAGAATTGCTGAGAGTTTTAAAAATACATCTACATCTACATGGTGTCAGTGTTTCAGCAAAATTGGGCCCCATTCCCTTCATCAATTTATGAGAAGTTTTGTGGCTTTATTCTCAAGTTTATCATCACCCATGCCCTAGTCTGGGCAACAGGTACTAGTATTAAATTATCTCTGTATCTATGATACTGTGTTTTCCCAGCTGGATCCTGCAATCTCCTTGTGAAGGATTAGGTCACAGACTTTTTTTTTTTAATTTGGTTTTATCTCTTAAGTTATTCATAGTTTATCTCATGTCCCTGGTTAGCATAGGCTTATAAGAATTGTAATAAATGAAGTGATTATATACTTTGTTTTTTGGTTTCACATTAGGAAAAGCTTCATAAATCTAATTTTACTATACTTAAGCTGTGACACATCTTCTAAATTATGTTTACAAGTAATTGCACATAGTGAAAAGTACTTGGACTATTTCAAATTATGTCTATAAAATCACATTCTCATTCTGTTCTCACTTTTTAAAATT